ACCTAGCTGCCATAGGATTATTGTAATAAATAAGATCATGTATATTAAAGTGCTTTTTCATCTTAAAGTACTAGTTTGAAGGTAAGTTCTTTTGAAAATATTATTTCATTGTTACTTTATTGCTATCTTAGAGTCATCTTCTCTTGGTAAGTTCATATTAATATAAACGAATCAGGAATATATTTAACTTCAATTTTAGGTTATAGCAACTTATCCAGACACGCTTCTTGATCTCTTTTTGGCCAATAGCCCTCAAAAAGATTTAAAAATTGAAATGACTATATGATAGAGGTCCTACCTGCACAAGGCCCTTAATGATAGCATTGTGTTCTATTTCAGTGGTGAGCAAGCTTCACCCTAGGCCACCTGTTTTTATACAGCCCACACTTAAGAATAGTTGTTATCTTTTGTACATTTTTAAACATGATAAAGTTTCATTTAAAATTAAAAAAAACATTCTTATGCTTACTGTACAAAAGTAGGCAAGGCAAATTTGCCTTTCCAAATTTGAACTGTAGGCAGTAGTTTTTCTACCCCTTAACAATAAGACCCTCTCTAACTCATGTATGCTTAAATTCATGGGAAGAAATAAAAAGGATTTTAAGGTCTCTATCTTGATTCAAATATAATGTTGTTGGTGGTGGTGGTGGTGGTTTTTATCATTTTGGACTGTTTCTATGTTTTCAAAAAATCACTGTTAGGAATTCATAGTGTGGAAGTCCCCTCCACCAATGCAGATCAATAAATACTCTAATATTGTCTAGGGATGTAGAGAATTGCAAGACTTCCCCATTGTTACTATATATCAGAAGCAGAACCTGAGCCCAAGTTTTACTGAATTCACGGTCAGCTTTGTATCTGTTTTGTCAAACTATATCTCTTACTGATTTCATAGTGTGTTTAAAAAAAAATTCTAATTCGTGAATGTAAGCAAGAGACTCATAATGAAAAAGGAGACTATGGTGAGAGATGAGTAAATTAGTACCCTAAGGTCCTGACACTTTCTTTTGAGGGAACATTATCTACAAAAGGGGGTACATGCAAAACCCCCATTAAAGTCAACGAATGAATTGTGAAGGGCAAATTGGGCCCATTACAGGCCTACATTTCTTATATAATATCCCTAATAATAGTCTTACAAAAGAATGAACTAGAATTAATAAATAGAGCAGTTTTACATGCAACTTTCATGGAGAAGGGAGTCTCATGACAAATATTGTGCCTTTACCATTTTGCATGGTGCTTATGTGATGACCGGAATGCTAATGAGAGTCATATTCCCATAGCAGTGGAGTAACAAGCATACCCAAAGAGAAGGGAAGGCATGAACACAATAATACCATTTTGTTTAACCTGCCAGTTTAAAATAGAACTTCCTGAGTCTGAAAAAGAAGATCATGGGGATGGTAGAAAATGAACTAATGTAATAAAAGCAATGATAAGACAAACTGCTTTGAAATCTTCTCTATTCTTTCTGGGAACAAGGCATGAACATAGACAGCTATATGCCACAAGAAGTTTTCCAAAGTAATGCTATTATATAATAATATTAATATCTAACAGATCTCATGAGGGAAATGTAAGACCGAAAAGGAAGTGCTTCAATTATGTAGCAAAAGCAAGGTTTGACCAATGGGAGTCTTCACACTTTATTGGAATTGATGAAATGGCAGGAAATAATTCATTAGCTATTAGCTAGGATTTATATAATGTTTTGAGATTCACAAAGCACTTTTACAAATATCTCAGTTTGTCCCCACAACAACCCAAGGAGAAAAATGCTATTATTATCTTCATTTTATGCATAAGGAAACTGAGCTTAAGTGATTTGCCAGGGTCATACACAGCTGGTAAATGCCAGAGAATGGATTTGAACTCAAGTTTTACTGATTCTGGTTCTAGTACTATCCATAGTAGCGCCTAAAGGAAGGCCCAAAACACAGATAGCCATGAGGGTTTTTCAGGAAAAGAAAAACAAGATTTGCATAGGATGCAAGGCCATGGATATGTTAGATCTACCCCTTTGGAAGGAGTTCCAACATTGATTAGATCATGGATGAATCAATTTGCTGAACATATATATTATGTATGTACATATATATATATATGACCAAATCCCACGTAAGATCTGTGTTGCTTGATATAATTGTCCAACTTATCTCAAATGAGGTCAGTCCTGGTGCTAAAATGGTGAGGATACAAATGCAAAAGAAAAACAGTTTCCAGCCCTCAAGGTGCTTACATTCTAATAGTTGGAGAGAATACATATGGAAAAAGGTCAGGGAAGAGAAAGAAAAAGTAGTCATTAATTTGATTATTGTTGTCAGATGGAGCGGGGTGGAGATTAGGGAGGGGAGTGGGGGTTGTCAGTGGTCAAGAATATGGTGGTGTTGGTTGGTCGAGGTTAGTTAGAGCTAGAGCAGGCATTTAATAATTAGCTTAGATCCAGGATGTAAACAAGAGCTTACACTCTGAGACCAAGCTAATTATTAGGCCTGGCCTAATTACTGGAGCCGGTCAAGAGGGGGCCTGCAAAATTAAAAAACAATGAGAAACAAGTGAACTTGCTAAGGTCATAGAGTTAATGTATATCAAAAATGGTATTTGACCCCTTGGTCTTCCTGGCTCTGTGGACAGCTCCTTATCCATTATCAGGCTTCCTCTTACTACACCATACTCCCTTATTCACATAGTTTTTTAAAATAATACAAGAAAATACATTTCATCATTTTTTTATTTCCCCTGTACCTGACATATAGTAGGTGTTTAATAAATGCTCATTGACTAAATATTTTCTATATATTATTAACTTACAAATAGCCCCCTTCATGATACTACTATAAAAGGCAGGCATAGGAGGAAAGATAGGAGGTGGAAAATACAGTTGAAACTTTAAAAAAAAAAAAAAAACTTTTAACCCAACTGCAATTAGTTGAGTGTTATTTCCTACTGGTGGATATATCCATCCAATCCCTGATGGAAAGTGATATCAGGGGGTTTATCTCCTCAAACTCTAGGCTACATCTCAGTCTCAGATACTGCCCTCTCCCAGGCCACGAAGTGCTCAGTAATTTTCCACTGCTCTGTTCCTGTAGTGTGATAGATTATATTTTCCTCAGCACTGGGCAAAGTAATTTTAATTTTGTTTATGTTTTTTAGATACACTGCTCAAACTTATTTGATCATCATCAACTCTCTCTGGAACTTAAATTACATTTCTGGGGTGGAAAGAGTTTTTCTCCCCATCTTCCTCCTGGGATATTACTGTATTCTTTGCCACTTGTCCTTGGTCCAGGCTTCTGAGACCCACCCACTCCATTCCACCTTTCTGGAAATAGTTAGAGGGTCTTTTGATGAGTTGGTATGTGACATCTGCACACCTCCACCTGGTAACACATCTAAGCAGCTCTCCTCAGTCCTAGTGGCAGTTTCAAGTATCTACAAAAATGATTTAGTTTTTTGGTCTCCCAAAAATGTATTTTTTTTTCTGGAAGATGTTTTATGGGATGGACTGTCTGTCCCTTGAAGGGGACATCTGATGTCTTGTTCTCATAGAACCAGTTAAGTGGTGGTGAATGTCTAGTATTTTGCCTCTTCAATTTTTGAAGATTAATTGTAGGCTATGTTCTACAACCTGTGTCTTTGATGAAGAGGGCTTCTAGGAAGAGTTTTCTCTGTTTCTCTTTTCAGACTTACTTGTGGCATTGTTTTCAACTTTAAAAGATCTATGAGTTCATATTTACAACCTAGTGACTTTAGTCAGTACTTGTCAAAGGTTTCACCGTTATATTCTGGTGATTACTCCCTAATCTTGCCTTGGAGAACAGACAGAAAATCTTTCCACAGTTTTATACTGGAAGTCTCTGAAGCTTGGTAGAGCCTACAGAATGTTTCATTTCATTGTTATAACTACAAGTTCTATGAGAGGAAGACACATCTTACCATTATACAGAATGGGATTTCATACCCCTAACTCAACTTAAATAATGTAATTAGCTTAAGGAAATGATGAAGTTTTAAATATGTAAACAAAATGGTTTATACCCTGTAAGCCCATTAAGGGTGTTACTCTTTTGAGTCAAGAAAGGATGAGTGTGATGGAATAACTAAACCGGATGACTATACCTCTGGGTGATTTAAATAGTATGGAAATTTCGGTAACCACAATCCAACAAGAGGTCAATCAGTAAAAAGGCCTAGGTGTACCTGGAGGGGGCAGACCCTTATGCATGTACCAGAAGACAAAGGGAGGGCAGGTCAGTCCAAAGGAAATACCATACTCCTATTTTTATTGCCTTTATATTAACCATGTTATCAAATATACTGGACCAGTAGGAGACAAACATTCATCCAGGAGCAGTGAAAGACATACCAAGGGCACACTGAGAATAAATGGGAATAAGCATGCCCACACACTAACAAAGCTACATAATGAAAGATATCTACTTGAAAGATAAAACAGCTCTGGGGAGTGTGATCCCTGGTAAGGAAAAGAATACTGGCTATGAATGCCAGGAAGGTACCCAACCTTATAGTCCAGCAGAAGCCACAGCTCAGATTAACTTCGTGACGACTGTGAAAGGAGAAAAGGATTTTCTACAAGCAGGAATCATGAACTACTCTATTGTCACACCTGCACTATCTGCCAACTATGTATGGCTCACTACTTTCATATTTTAAGTTTGAGTTCATTCTCCTCAGTGATCCTGTGTGTGTGCAGGGGAAGAATGTGCCCCCATTTTGTATGAAATGTAAAACATTTTACAAACCTTAAAGTACTATATAAATGTCAGCTTTTGCTAGTATTACTTCTTCCAAGGTCTTGTGTCAAAAATCATCATGGAGGTTTGCAAGTTAGAAGAAAATCTTGGTTACATTGTACCCTATTGTAACCTTGCATTGCCCAGTAATTTTAAGATAGATGCAAATGAATGCACTTGAGTAGATTACAGCTCTTTCTCCAATCTCATTTATCGCCTCTCTGTATGTGTCTCCCACAGTGATGGCTGGGCTGACAGGTATGATGTGACAGAGGGATACCAACGTGAAGCTGTTGGTGGAATCACAATCAAGCTCCAGTCTCCCGACGTAAAGTGGTTTGATGATTATTACCTGAAACTCCGACCAGAAACCAACCTGCGAAACCCTTGGTTCCAAGAATTCTGGCAACATCGCTTCCAGTGCCGGCTGAAAGGATTTTCACAGGAGAACAGCAAATACAATACCACTTGCAACAGTAAGTGGAGACTTACTGTTTTTTCTTTTAAAGGGAATTAAAATGAGTCTTGATTGAAATGACTATGTCTTTAAGAAATGTAGCTGCAATTTACTCTAGAGGATGAATATTGTGTAAAAGGCCAATTCTGTTACTCCCTGTACTACACAGATATTAGTTTCAGAAGATATGTAGACTCTATTGAGATTAGAAATGGCTCAATAGAGTCTACATATCTTCTGAAACTAATATCTGAAAGATAGATAGATAGATAGATAGATAGATAGATAGATAGATAGATAGATAGATAGAT